AAAATGTATGCCGCCTTCCATCGCGTAATATTCCGGTCTTTTACTTCGCACTTCCGCTTCTATAAATCGAGTAATATGTTAATAAAAATATCATGTAATATGTGTTTTGAATTCGTCTCGATGTCCTCTAATCGTCTTCCCATTTAAAAAACTCAAGGTGACCTTGACTTTGCGAAGAGAACAAGCTGTTTTCAAAATTTGCTTTACTAATATCTATTGTGCACTTCATACCCTGAAAATATTGTTCTAAACTTTTTTCGTAAGGTGGCTGCAAGTGGGAGAAAAATCGTGAGTAGCGTTACAGGTAACACCCTGTATATGAAAGTACAAATATAATTATTACCATATGCATGTGGCAACATTTTCGGTGGAAAACGCTTACACAATGCTCCTGAACATCGTTTCGATTAATGAAAAAACATACGAATATAGGGCGCTCGATCCCTATTCCTCGCGCAATTTACAAATGTGAGGAGGCAAACTTCCATCAAAAAATGACTAAGTAAACGATGAAGCATAAAGTAGATAAAGCGTAAATAATAAGTAATATAAAATAGTAAAACGTAAAACTACACAGTAGTATAGTATAGTAATATAAATAATAATACTAATATAGAAGGTGAAGCACCAAACCGGTCACCACAATAACTTGGTTGCTATTGTTGCTAGAAAAAATGCATCAGTCAGAAATTTATCGGATGATCAGTCCCTCGATACCAAATAATTTTTGCGTGATGCATTTTTTTTCTGTCAAGAAATCATGTTATTCAGTTATTCAAGTTATGGCGGTTTTAAGTGTCTTATTCTGTATACGATATTAATAATATAAAATAATAACCGTTCTAATTTACTACTTATATATAAAATAATAAAACGTAAAAAAGTTTTGCAATGCAAAATGAAAAGCATAGCATTCAATAATTTCAGTGTTAACTCGACTGAAAAAAAGAAAGTGCATACAATATAAAAATGCATGCATATTTGAACTAATATTAGCTCCGTTATAAAGCCGCATTGTAGATAATACAGAATATACAGAAATATGGAATACGCTGTGATGCGAACATCTGCTACTAAATAATCTACGAACAGGGGGTGATTATTAACCAAAGTTTACGGGATTTGCCAATCGATAACCACGTCTGTTAATGATGTCGTGGTCATAAATCGAAAAAATTGCAATTGATTTCTACGTAAACGAACCGTTCGTATTACGAAAATACGCGAACGACAAATATCTGTTTGATTTCGTGCGATTTATCATCGGTTAACTGCACGTGGCGACACTAATGCGAAGCTATAATGCGACATCGAATTACAAACGTTTGCCAAACAATATAATTGATTGCCTATCCTTTGATAACAAATCCGTTTTGAATTTGCCGGTGAAACTCATGATTCGAGATCGCTCGAAGCTCGCGTTAAATGAGAAACTCGATGATCATTAACTATAACGCAAATCATTCTCCAAAATACAAATTTCGTTGTCGTGTTTGATAATAATCATTTTTTTTAATAATAGATGCTGTTCGATGCATTTTGATTGAACTTTTCTTTCGTATTATACTTCTTACATTTTTTTAAAAAAGACGCTAATTATTTTAAGATTTTTTTGATTTAAAAGGATTTTTGTTTAGAGTAAACTTAGAAATTCAGAAATTTTTGTATGTTGTCGTATATGTATAACGTGATAGTATAATTGAGAGGTGATAATTACATATACCACGGTCGTTTCAAATAACAGCTTTAGCGCAATTTTTATAAAATTTATTTATCAAAAAATATGATATAAGTGGTGTCAAAATATTACATACATGTAACATCCTATTTCAACCATTCATCCACGTATATAAATGTACAGGTCAAACCGTACCAGATACGACTTTTTGTCAGAGAATCAAACTTTCTTAAAATGGGTCAAAACTCCCTGAAAAATTGTCAAAAGTGCCGAAAGGTGGTTAACAGAGAGTCTGAGGGGCGGAGAACTCCCAGCGAGCGAAGCGAGTTTTTTATTTGTACTCAGCACATTTAAAGTATCACACAGAATTTCTATAAATATTATATGATTCTTTTACTTATTCTATACTTTCTTTACTATGGTACATAACTTTTTCAATTCGATAAATCTGAAGATGTAAATTTATTTTTTTAACAACTTCATTAAAAAAAACTATTTGATTCAGAAAACAGTATTCTAAATTTTTACTTTAAACAATTTGGATATGTCAAATTTCCAGTTTGAAAAGTTTTAAAATTAAAAATTTTTGTCGGGAAAACATTAATACTCAATATTTTTATTTTGAAAAGCTCCTATATTTTAAAATTTGTATTTTGTAAAAATTTAATATGTAGAGTTTTCATTCCAAAAAGCTCATATTCCATTTTGAACAATTTCAATATTTAAAACCTTCATTCTAAAGAAGTTCAATCTTTAGAATTTTCACCTCTGAAAATTTTCGAACGTAATATTTTCATTTTAAATAGCCTTGCTATTTGAAATTTTTATATTACACTGTTTTAATATAAAAAACTTGTATTTTAGAAAGTTTTATACTTAAAATATTTATTTCAGAAAGCTTCAGTACTAAAAATTTAAATATTACAGATTTTTAGTTTAAAAAAGTAAATCGATAGAAGTGTCGGAAGGATGAAAATTTTTGATGTTGTGTTGTGATATTATCACAGGAATTAAGACAAATATTTTGTCCATGTAAAAATTTTTTGTCCGCATTTTGCTTTGGGTGACAGAAAATTGTTGACTTTTATTTCAATTTATTTTTTGGCTTATTTTCGTTTCTCATATTTTTCGGTTTGTTTTTTTTTTAATCGTCATTTTATTTTCTCTATTTGCCTTTACTTTCTTGTTAGCTTTTATTTATTTTTTAAGCAAAAATTGACAGTAATATGATACCCATCTATACAGATCAAATTAACCTCACATTTACGCGCGAAACACTGTTTTACATACTTATTATTTTTAAAAGCATGAACCTATAAAGTTGCAACTTGTAATTTTACATTCTTCCATCGAATATTCCAAACAAAAAAAAAATAAAAAAAAAACTGAAAACTTCAATGAAGAGTAAAAAATTAACTTTTCGTTCTCCAAAGTTGACGTTCACTTTAAAATTTACTAAAATTCTTAAGGTTTATTAAAATTTTTACGAAAAGCCCGTTCAAAAACTACGATAAGCTATCAAACGTTTGAATGTGTTCTTTCCTGTGTGATTGCAGTGCGATGCGGGTACTCCTCTCGAAACTTCCGAGACCATGGATAGTCGACGAGAAAAAGGATGATGGTTACACGGCCCTTCATCTGGCTGCCCTAAACAATCACGTGGAAGTTGCTGAGCAGCTGGCACGTGCTGGAAAAGCTGACCTGGATTTGCAAAACGTCAATTTGCAGACCGCACTGCATCTTGCTGTCGAGCGACAACACACACAAATCGTTCGCGTACGTATATTTCAACGGGAAAGAAATTCGCCTCTGACACGACATTCTACAAACGATTCATTAACATTTCCGATGTTCTACTTCCTTTTGAAAACATGTTGCAAATGTGAAACTCCTTTTTTCCCACGAAATGTCATGGAATCCAATAATACGATGTTTTGACTTCATTTAGCATCTCGGTTTCATTTGCGACGTTGTAAGACGAAGAAGATAAAAAATAGATCAAATATTCGAGATGTTTAACTTTGTCATTTGAAAATTCTCATATCCTCGTACTATTTTTGGAAGATGGAGTAAAAATAAGGATGATTTAATAAAAAGTAAAGTTGGTTTGATGCAAATAATAAGAAATGTGGATTTAGGGAACTTGAGAATTTGGGAATTTGGGATTTATAGATCTGAAGATTTTAGATATTTAAGGAAGAAAATGAGGTAGACGGTGAAGAAGAGTGAAAATTTTGAATTTCGAAAAGTTAGGACTTTAGAAACTCAAGAATCAAAAAATTTGAAAATACAAGAATTACGAAAAATTTAAAAATGCAAATAGAATATTTCCAAATTACAGTACAATATTAAATTGCATCACAATTTTGTTCTTCCCTATCAGGTACCCTTAATATGTAACCATTTAAATGCACATCTCGTGACAAAATATCACCTAAACGAAATAATTTAATACTGACGTTTAATAATAATTAAATGTCAATAATAAATCGTGTTACAGCTTCTGGTAAGGGAAGGCGCTAACTTGAATGTAGCGGACAAAGACGGCGACACTCCACTTCACGAAGCCTTGAGATATCACACTCTATCTCAGCTGCGACAACTGCAGGATGTTCAGGATGTAGGACGTCTCCTGATGGGTTTGGGAGCGCAAGGACAAGACAAGAAGAGCAGCTCGTTCATCGCATGTTTCCTGGCTGCCCATGGAGCTGACCTGGAATTGAAGAACAAGAAGGGACAAACTCCCCTTGATCTCTGTCCAGATCCAAACCTCTGCAAAACATTGACTACTTGCCATAAGGATAGAGAATCGTTAGTAATCGTCATTTATTTCCACTTTAGACATGAAGTCATGTGGCAACCTGAAATTTCGTCGAGTGTGTCTCGCCAAATCCACATATTACCATTTATTAATCAATTTCCAATATCGTATTATTATTCAAAATGATGGAATTAAATAATATTCAATATAAATATACCATTGTTATTTAAATAACTAAATATTCTATACAAATTTCTACATGCACATTGAAAATTGAAAACTTGATAAGTTTCGACATTTCAGTACTCCGACGTTTAAAAATTTGAACGATTGAAAATTTGTTAAGATTTAAAAATACTTAAATTTGTGAATTTGAAAATTTAGAAATTTTAGAACATTACTAACGATAAGATAGCAGACAATTTTTTCTTCTACTATTAATTTTATTATCTGGAAATTTTTCAGAAGTTTCCAAAAAATTAGTTATCGTGTGTTGAACGAACAATGTTTCTATCAACTATAATTTATACAAATGCAAATAAATAAAAAAAGCAAGAAATATATGTTTGATATAATATCTTTTACAGTCACGATATCGAAACAGCAGCTCCATCAGGTACGATCGACGAATGTTTAGTCTGCTCGGATGGGAAACGTGAAATGCTTTTCACCCCCTGTGGACATGTAGCTTGTTGTAACGTTTGTGCACCAAGGGTGAAGAAGTGTCTGATCTGCAGAGAGAATGTTTTATCGCGAACAAAGGTAAAATAATTCTAACTAGCTGAATAATTAACACTGTACACATAACTGTTGCAGTGAAAATAGTCGTACATAGAGTAGATGTACCGTTTGTGGCCACCTTCGGGAATTTTTATGACCTAAAGTACGTTTATTCGTACAATTACGTATGAAATAGAGGAACCATAAATTTTAAAGGTCGTCTAGTTTCAACATTCAATTTGCTATTACTCAATTGTGTTATTGAGTAATTAATATGTTTTAAAATAATAAAGAATTCATTTTTTATTGTAAATATTAATTAATATTTCTATTTCCTGCGGGAATTTTGGGGAATCTTTTCATCCCTCGTTGCATTCTTGCTGTAAATATGTTATATTTATGAAATAACACATTATGAAGTAAATATGAATGAATAGCACATTTCGTAGCTATTGAAATTATTGAAAATACTTTGTACCTTTCATAGTTAGAACTTTTCATAATGCAACCTCAAAATATTATACACTTACAATACTATACTATCTTCCTTCACATAAATTTTGTTAATAGATATGTATATCTATTGAAGTAAGAAATATATTGTTTATTGTTATTTTCTCTATTATTTTTTATCGTTATTGTTAATAGTTGATATAACCTTTAAAAAGCGTAATTTTCTTCAAAACTATAACCATTATACAACGAAGGATTAAAATAATCTTTTTCAATAACGATACTTTATATAAGAAATTGTACAATTTTTTTAAAATGTAGAATTATTTCTGTCCATCAATTTTATGTCATCCATTATGAAACGCATTCGTTTTAATACACAATTTTATCTTATTATTGCGAATAAACATTTAAATTGCTGTTCGTAACAAAGAAATCTTCCAAAACGAAGGATCAATAATATGATGTCAGTTAATGTGTACATTTCTTTAGGTTATTAAAATGATGATTTATTTTCAGATCGAAGAATGCGTAGTTTGCTCGGATCGTAAAGCTAGTATGTTGTTCCGTCCTTGCGGGCACATGTGTGCATGCGAGAGTTGCGCTACCCTTATGAAGAAGTGTGTACAATGCAGATCTCAAATCCAACACATGGTACCGCTGTCGATGTGTTGTGGTGGAGGAGGCAATGTCACTTATGTGAAGGGTACCAATGCTTCAGGTATTAAGACCATTAACCCACAAACATATACAATAAAATACAGATGTATACAATAGCTGTACCTTACATAAATCATATGCTTTTAAAAACTTGATAAAAATTGATAAAGAAAAAAAACACTTGATAAGGAGACATATTTTTCTTTTCAACAAAACTATCGTTAAAACGTGAAAAAATTAATAAATATTAGTATTCTAATGATTAACTATGCAAAAATTGTAGTAGCTTATAATTATTGTAGAAGATGTAAAAAAGAATTAAAAGTAGTAAGTTGGGACAATGGTACCTAATATGGAATACGTTGGTTTATAAATAAAACTAAGGAACTTTTGTTGTGAAAAATGAATATTTATTATAATAAGAAAGACAAATAAATGTCTTCTACTTTTTTTAATTTACCTTGTGTGATATCTTCTTTCGGTCTCTGTATGTTGAACACATTGCTCACATGTGAATGCATTGGATCCATCTTTCTTTATTATTATCATTATAATGTGTTTAGAATTGTAAAGATCTAATTTATAACGCAATGTAATTTGTAACATATGTTACACATGCAGTACATTGCGTGTGCACGTACTTCGATAGAAAAATAATAATTATCTCAAGAAGAAAAAGATTTGATGATAAACTATTTTTGAACACTCTAAATAAACATGTTTGATGATAAGTTATACAACAATAATATTTTATAACTTACTTTCTCTAAAAACATTAAAATATTTGACTTTTTAAAAACTTAAGCGTTATGAAACAATGCTTCACATTCGGTGATATACTTTCGACAGAAGCTCAAATATTTTACACGGCCACAGATAGACTTTGCTACTTATTTATTAAGATATTCTGGTATTTCGTATTAGGCACTATTTCATACAGGATACAGATGTTCTAAAAATATCTGTTCAAATAATTTTTATTCTCCCAATATAAATAATCAATAAATTGAAAATCATAAAGACTTTATCATTTTTAGTGATCTTTAATAAGACAAAAGAATGATTCAAGTATCTCTTAATTTTAATACAGTCAGTTCTTAATACATAATTTCATTGTGCATCAGTGCATCAAGTTATAAGATATTCTGTATTTAATAATAGATACATTTTTGTATCTAATAATTTACATTAATCTTTTCATTGTTATAACATGAAATTCATTCTCCTGTTTACTTAAATTATTTTTTGTACAAAAAGGTACAATATCAGACGTGAAGAATGACGCTGAAGAGGAATCGGTTCAACAGAATAGCGGAGGAGGAGAAGCTCTTTTGATGAACAATGGCAGCCGAGATACATCTCACAGTGATATACAGAAACTTCAACAGCAACTTCAAGATATCAAAGAACAAGTACGTATCAAAATTTGTTTTGCTTTTGTACGCATTGATTGCCACGGTAAAAATGTACTTAAGAATGCAGTAAATCTAACAATTATTATTAATAGAAATACGAACAGCAAAAAATATAATTCTGAATTTTTAAATTGAAAAACTTAGAAGCCTACAAGCTTACATATTTTTGAATTTTCTAATTTTAAATAACTAGATAATGCAGAAATTTATTAGTTGGAATGTGAGGGGTTTGGGAATTCGTAAATTAGTCAAGTGAGGAATTTAAAAACATTCAAACCGAAAAATGTATCAATATTCGAAGTTTCAAATTAACAAACTTTAAATATTCTATATTGGATATTCAATATATAATTAAATTCAATTAATAATTTAATTCAATATTGAATTAAATATTGAATATTCAATATTCAGTATTCCTAATTATTTAATTCCCAAACATGAAAGTTCAGAAATTTTCGACATCAGTTCTGGCCACAGCCATAAATGTTGCAATATAACAAAAGTTTACTATAAAATCACGCTACTACCTTGAAACGCTAAATTGAAGTATTAAATTAAAAAAATAGTTATCATCTTTAAAAATATGTAAATATTATCAGGTATTATATTACGATGTATATAACTATAATTAATACAATTGATTAACGTGTTGAATTGTCATTTCTACATGTATGGTTCGTCGATGCTAATAGATAAACTAGTAAATACGTTCAAATAGACAAATTTAAACGACTAATTTTCCTTATGTACTCTTTTACAGACCATGTGTCCAGTTTGCCTGGATCGCTTGAAGAACATGATATTCCTGTGCGGCCACGGAACCTGTCAAATGTGCGGAGACCGGATGTCAGAGTGTCCGATATGTCGAAAAGCGGTAGACAAGCGAATTTTGCTCTATTAAATCTAGGAAACTGATTGCCGAGCTGAAGTTTTACGTTAGAAAGAATAATGATAAAGGAATAATTAAATATTGTTTTCATTCAATAGCTGCAATGATATTTATCAAAAAAGTATTGAATTTCGTATCTCTCAATATTGAAAATAAATCAGTATGTATATATCTACGTATATACTCTTATATAACTACATATATGTACAATTATATATCTAAATATATCATTCCTCCCGACAAACATGCATATGTTGAAGTATATTCATTCATTCAATTTCATTATTTTATTCCTAAAATACATTCAATGTTTGTCGTAATAATTCATATACGTATTTCTTTTTTTACTTTTGTATTTTGAGAACAGCTGTAAGTCTACTATCATAGTACTTGCATCAAATAGAAATTTATAAATAAAATTGTTCTAATATTAAAATTATTTTTATCAAGATATAAACTGTTGCCTTTAATTTTGTAATTGATAAAGTAATAAACAATATGATAAAAATATAAAGCAAATACGGTAAAACGACAGTATGAAAATCATCACAATATTTACTTATTCCTTTTTGAAAGAAAATAATCTAAAAAACAGTTTCGTTTCTCAACGAATACTTATAACTTCAGTTCAACATATACAACGCGATTATAAATTGGTTAAATAAAATAGATTATTATTTTGCGAGATAGAAAAATAATAATCGATTTGCAATGTAGCGAAGTCCTAAACGATCTGATTATATACTTTGTTATTTTCTTTGCGAATTTGTTCGATTTAATTCGGTAGCGAAAATAATCATTGTCTTCTAGTAATTATACATAATATTATTATTGATTGTCAGATATACTAACTGTTCCGAACAATCATGGTATTTCTGTCTCTGCAGTACACTTTTGTACGCACAATTATTGTTTAGAATTCATTTATACATAATTTATATACAAGGTGTATTCAATGTAACTACATAAATAAGAAAACTGTACTAACTATACATATATAAATCACAAATTGAATAATTTAAGTGATTTGAGTGTTCGAAAAATTTGGCAATTTGAAAACTTTTGAGATTTAGCTATTTGAAAAGTTGGGAGATTTGGATATTTTGGAAAGGATATTCAAGAAATTTGGGGATTTGGTAATTTGAGGATTTAGAAATTTGGGAATTTGAAAATTTAAAGACTTAGAAATTTAAAAACTTAAGCATTTCAAAATTTGAGGATATTTAAACCTGAAAATATAAAATTTCGAAATTAAAACGCCATTACTTCCAAAATCGATACATGCATCATAAAATACTCCATTTAACATTACTTAATTTTATTATACGTTTTATTATTTCGAACAATAAGAAAACTTTGTACACACGATAACTATGTATAAATGGATGCTTAAACATGAATAATAATATGTAAAATGTAATTTTTCATTGTATCAAATCAACGAAACCTTTTATAAAACTTTTGCTTTCTTTACTCTGAAACAAAGAACTGCAAATATTCTTAATTCCGATGATAATGAATTTTCATTAAGTTGAAAAACCTCGTTCAAAAATACTGATACTATATATATGCATATGTAATTATTTTATTTGCACACTTTGGTTTTATTTTATCAATTTAATTAACCGTAGAAAGACGGAAGCCTGTACATAATTCCTAAATAATATTGCATTTGTATTACTCCTAAATCAGAACCATTTCTTCAGTACTCATCCTAAACATTATAAGTAAAAATAAATTTTGGTGACAATTTTTTCAAAGTTACATGTTTTCTATATTTTCTTAGTATAAATTACCTCTCTTAGTCTTTCTAAGGTTAAACAACAAATATTCCAGTTTTTATATGCCTCTTATTTTTGTTATTTGTATTGTGTCATAATCATAGCTTGTATTTTATAATATTATACTCTTATGAAATTTGTATAATTCTTTTTGTGCGATAGTAATCAAAAAAATATCAATTTTTGAGGTCTATGATTTTTCTTGTCCCGCAAGTGTTTTAATTAGTATTGTGAGCACCATCATTCTCTCCCAATTATGTAAATAATGACGCCACCATTTCCCTACCTGGAACCTCATAAATTTTTATACTGTTTAAAATCTAAGGCTATAGTATAGTGTATGCGTTTTCTGACAAATAGTGTAGTGTAATTACTCTGACACGAATTTATCCATTTATCAAAATGCTAGTTTGTCAAAAATTGCTTCCGCTATAACTGTAGCCTAAATGTTCATAATAACAGTGGATAGTGCCAATTAGTTTTACAAATCATAGAATATTACCAATTTATCTTTGAATGTTTGATTATAAAAATATCAAGAACTGTTGTTATAATTGTTACAATTCAAGATCTTTTATTTATATATTGGACAGTTGTTTATACATTATGAAATAAGAACAGCTTTTCTTGTCTTGCTACATAATGAGTAACTCAATCAATATCAATTTTCTTTATAATGAAAAAACAGGAAAGCAAAGTTTTGAAAAGGTAATAAATATTTCATGAAAATCAATTCAGTAATTCTGCTGATTTATGGAAGATATTGTATTTTTTTTGCATATTAACTTATATTTGTAATTATACATATATATTATGTACAAGTCATTCTTAAAAAAAATATACAGACGAATATTGCTCACTAATTGTACAGAATAGACCATGAAACACTTAGATTAAACGCAAAATATTCAAAGATTTAACGACTTCTATAAGCAAGTCAATTATGTTTTTTTCATATTTGTAAAATTTTGACATATTCTTATTTTAATGAAATCTATATTTTTTTGTGTACAAACCGAACTTTCTTATCACTGTATGATTAATAATGGAACAAAATATTGAGAAAAGAAATTTATGCAAGATTTAAATCATCTCCTGTTTAATGTTAAATATAAAACTGTATATTAGTCATTCTAAATATTGGACATTAATATATTTTACTATAATATGGCTATGCAGAAATAGAACTCGTTAAACCATTTAACTTTCCCTTTTTGTTATTTTTGTTAAATATGTGAGCTAAACACGAATATGGCTTTTATCATCAACCTAGCACATTCGATATGGATCTACATAAATATCAGGCAAAATTTTTGTGATTATAAAATTAGCATTTAACAGTTTATATATGCTATTTTATTCTCTCTTTTGTGTAAAAGTGTATTTTTATAATTAATTCTTTAAATACTTTTTTTTACATTTTTGCTAAAAATTATAGCTTCCAATGATCAGTAACAATCAATCATGTTTACTAATCAACATTTTTTTAATATCAAATTTGACTTATATTGAACGCTTTAATTCACAATAATCAGTTTACTCGTAGAAATTAATGCATAAAAATTATAATCTTGCATAGAAGTTGACCTTCATTTTGTATTTTTGTTTCGAATACCATTTAACGCTTTATCCATTGCTCTTCCATTTACAACCCATTTTTATAGAAATTTTTGCAAGCCAATTATTATATTTAAAATAGGACTTTTATTAGCGACATTCAATATAGGTAGATGAATAATTGAAATGTATGAATCATTCAATTCTAATTTAAGATTCTATATTTTGCGAGTTTAAGTCACGTATAATTGTTTTTTTTATCGAATATAAACCATATAAAAAATAAAATTAATAAGGCATATTAATCGATTTAGAAAAAAAAGTAGAAATAAGATTGGATTTATAAGAATAAAAACATAGTTACAAATTCATGATAAATATTAAAGCACAAATAATTAAAGATTTGTAGCAACGGTTGCTCCAGTATTTAATTATACCCATAATGTAATAAATAGATTATAGTTGTAGTATTTTTTATATTAATTATTCACTAATTTGCAGTCTTAAAAAAGATATATCTAATACAAAATATTAATTAAAGCAATGTATAGGTTTAAAACCATTCCTGTTTCATAGTATTTCTGTACAATATTGTGTTTAAAAATATTAATATACAATATTTAATAAATAATTGTAAACGCATTGATAACATTACAATGGGATATGAAATTTAACTAGACATAAAATGATAATATTATACGAAATATAATTACTTGTATTTTTATTCTTCTTTCAGTGCTTCCTTTTTTTGTTTGTTACTTCGCTCAAAAATTTCCAGTTGTATTTGATCAGAAATCCCATTGTATTGTCCATATCTTTGGTTAAATAAAATTATAATGCAAATATTTTGATTGTAGCAATTTGTATGTAGTATCATCTGTACTGTTTTGTCACAGGTTTAAGTAACTGTCTTGATTGTATTCAATGAAATTACAATAATAAACGCACTTGTTCAACCTGACAACGAATAGTAATTCTTTATATAACCCCATATGTATTGAAAAAAGGACTGTGGGACTAATTTTCCTTTCGTATAAATTAATAATTTCCCCTATTAATGAATAAATTGCGAAACATTAAGGAGTAACAATACGCAAAAATTAAGTAAGTTATAAAAATTTTCATGCTTTTAACTTCTCTATCTCTTTAATGAAGAATAAAGTATGCAACATCAAAAGCATTGAAAATTCAAATACATACATACAAATGGAATACCATGTAATAATAAAACTTGCATTTATGAAAAATTATTTATTTTTGATTAAGAGTATCAGTTGCTTCATATATAGAAAGCCACAGTTATGATAACTAAATTTACAAACTCTCGTTTTTTACATCAAGTCCTCTTGATACTTGACAAAGAAATTACAATGTGTTAAACTTTCACTCATTTATTCCAAATTCGCTCGTTCACTCGCAAACACTCCAAGTTCACACCAAATTACATTCTTAAAACCAAAGACAATCCCGTGTCTTTGGATAAGAAATCTTGTCTAAACTTCAACGACACTGGTATAAAATTCTATTTCACGCATTCGTTAAATTCATTTATGGTATAATAACGGCACTTCGTAACTTAGACCGAATACAAGAATTATTTAGCCAATTTTCATTAATAAGAGCAGAACCATATGTACAAGCTAAATCACATAACTTATCCACCTTGAACAACTTCTAAACACCTACAAAAGAGTATCTCATGCAAAAGTTGCATAATATCGAAGAAAACATATGATGCTGAAATTGTTTTTGAAATAATCTACGAATTCTATTTCTTAAAGTATAACAGTTACTTTAGGAGTTATTTAAAATGGATCGATTATGTGACATACTTTGCATAAAGCTGCTCGATAGAAAAAACAAAATACTTATTCAAACACAGTAAAAAATCTTCTCATCTTCGATGAACGATTGCTAAATAATTTACTATAACAAGATGTAGCATGTGCGTAACCATAATCAGAATATATTATTACATTAAATAGTTAATTACATTAATTTAATAATTCTCTAAGTTTTATTTTGCATCGTTATTGATATTTAGTTAAACACAGTAAGGCTGCTAGTAAATCGTGTAACGCATATTTATTGTTTTCCTTTGTTCTGCGTTAATTTTCTTAATTCGTTTAAACTGACTTTGGTAAATCTAACTCTTTGCGACTCATTTCAAACTACAATGAATTCATTATTGCACATTCACTATAAACAGTTTATTCCGTAATAGTTACCCCATTACCATAAAATCATGATACTGGAGCCTGTGCAAATATTTATAAATAAAAGATATATAATATAATCTAAAAAAAAATTATTTAAAAAAATTATTTTATAACTTTTCATGTTACACTATTGTGCTTTTAACCATATGATAGTGTTAACAATATTTTATAAATACATACAAGTCTAAAATTGAAACTGCACTTTTTAAAACGAAATTGGCTACATATTTGTGCTTTGCACAATTTATTTTATAAATTTATTTTATAAATTCAATTTCATTGCTAATCATATTACTGTTATTATTTACGAGTATTTTAATTGCATATTAAATTGTGAAACTGTTTTAAACCACAAAATGTGGCACAGAATATAATGAGGAGAAATTGATTGATCTAAATCAACATAAACTAGTAAATTACTCTAATTGCAAGTTATTATACAAGTATAACTACATCATTCTTACAAATATAAAGGCAGCCTAATAACATTAATGTATTCATTTAAAATACAACCAACTATGTAATTAAAATCATGAAATATATGTTATCACTGTGAGAACTATTCTTAAAATTTTATTTGCATACTTACATGAACAGCTTATAATTTAACAAATGAGTCGCAAAGAAGAAATATTTTTGTTAACATTCACATAATGAATTTAAGTTGGAAGGAGGGATTTTTTTTAGTAAGATTAGTTATAGTTCTAAATTACTTTAAATAAGATGGTTCAATAATTTCACGACTTTACCATTACGCGCGGGGTTGCCTTGTTTACTGGTGTTGAATCTAGAAGTAAAAAAGAAAAAGTACAAATAACTTTTATTTTGTAATTACAGAACCTCGTGATACATCGAAACTTCATTGTATCATAATATTTACCAATTTAAATGGGACTCGTGCCGAAACTACCCGGTGATCCTGGAGTTCCAGTCTTTTTGTGAAGAAGTGAGTTGAAAAAGTTAGCTAAAACACCTTCTCCAGATTGTGTGGCACCAGTACCTTTGAGGTCTAACTTTTTATTTGGCGATGCCACCTATACGAAAAATGTTTAATATTTGCGAAACTTAATTTCCTATCATATCAATAATAGATCATACCACATAGATTAGACCATGCTTTTGATTGTTATCTATAAAAAGCACATAGCGATCTTGTTCAATGAATTATTAAACAATAAAATACATATTTCATGTTGAATGACACAAATAATATCAAAAAATCATGTATGCGAATGTATTTCCTATCTATACTAATCTAATTCAGTACACATACTGACATTGATAATCAACATAGATCCTAAAGTGTAAGAGCGCATAATATAAATGAGATATTTTGTAACTGTATAATTGAAGCTAAAAACTAAAATTAGATAATAAGCAATGCATGAATTTATCTGAATGAATTAATATTAACATGAAGGACACATTAAATGGCCCTAATAACATATACAACAAACTGATCATGAAATGTGAATACCATGTTTGAAGTAATTACATTCCATAATATAATAAGCAACATTCACTTTGAACATTAATATACATCGAAAAAAATCTTTCTGGGGTACTAAAAACACCATAATAAGATGATTTTAATGACAAGGTATTAGTTATAAGGTGAAAATATGGTCGCCTGCACACATGATATTGATGTATAAATTAGCCACAAAAACGTTCACTATCATTCAATGCTGAATGATTATTAATTCATTGCACTCAACATGAGAAGCATGCTCCAATTATAAATGGTATAACCTGAATAACCGGTCCAGTGCTTGCCTGGTTCCTAGTTGTGGGAGACCGTGTTGGATCTTTCAATCCTAGTAACGCAGCTTGCTGTTTAGCCAAGAAAATTTGTTCTCCTTCTGCTTGAATTTCCACCTCCCTAGCCACACACTAGTTAACACAAATATATTAAAATACCATAACATAAAATTTAGTTAAGCTAGTCATTCTTCCTTAACACATTCAGCCTTGATAATGTCTCAAGACTTAAGACATCAAATTCGGCGAATCCGTCGTTTGGATTTACGCAATGTGTTGAAATAGAACCTTAAAACGAAACTCAATATGCGATCCTTAGTCGTGTTGCCATTTTAGGTTCTCAATATCTTGGAAACCTCACAGGCTAAATGCGTTAATTTATATTTAACAAAATATAGTTTGTATACTTTTCTATTTATTGGTGGCTGTGCAATAATATCTCGGTAATAGTCATCTGGTTTCATTGACTGTAAATTTTCATGTAAAATACTAATCTTTTTCATATTATCCCAACCAGCAGGACTGTAATTAAAAAGAGAGTAAGAATGCATTGAAAATCTATAAATTTCTAATTTATATAATTTACATACATTAGAACAGCATCTTTTTCAACAACTAAAGCAGGTGTTCTAAATGGTAGTGAATATATTCTATGTGTAAGATATTTATAAAGCAAATCACAATTTTTGTCTTCCTTAGCGGATGTATAGAACAATCCTGCTCCATACTGTAAGCAAAATCGTCTTATCCACTGTTGCATAAAATCAAAATGTTCGTCCCTATAAAAAAATAGTTGAACATTTCAATTTCTATATAAGCATATTAAGCCATTAGTAGTTATTAAAAATTATATTTGTATCACTTTTTAGAATTTATTTTTTTAATCTTACTTGTAATCATGCTCTTTCTCAAGAGTAGACATATAATCGGTTTTTGTTATAACAACAACAACATCGAGGCCTAAATTTGTCGTAAGTACTCCTTCTGGTAATGGTAAATTATCAATCGCTTCATCATCTAAATTACGACTAGTACGCCTTAAGGGACTACCAGGATCTAATTCATCTCCAGGTTCTGTATAATCCTGCCATTTTTTTATATCTAAACACATGTACATATTTTTCTTTTAAAAAAACCTGTTGCATTCACATAAAATTATTTAGACCTAATTATATGATGCGATCAGTACTAAGATAATTTCGACAAAAGGAAGTACTAATCTAATTATAGAAAACTATGTATTAAAAAGACTTACTAAATTGTCTACATCGTTGCCTAGTATCATTGTCTAAGGGTAGTTTGTCAATATGATCTCCTAAAAGTGCAGCCCAAGATTGAAGTTGATCAAGAATAGCCCATGGAGTAGTCATTGCAGCTACCAACATTACAAGAGTATGTGGAAACCTCTCTGCGTTCAATGCAAATCTTAAAAGATTTGCATGACCAGGATCACCATCTAATACCCATACAGATAACCTAGTTTGATCTGAATAAATAATTTACTTCAGTAACCTCATATTATGTTTTAAAAGTAGGAATGAAAATCGAATATATTATCACCATCTCTGTAATCATCCCTCACATCAATGTATGCAAACTCTAAACCAGAACCTTTTTTAGGATCTTCTACACCTTGCAATTTAGCAATAAGCGTTGTTTTTCCACTTTCATTATCACCTGCAATATAATTCTATATGTTTATATATACAATAAATACCAAACGTATATGGATACTCTTTAAAAAAACATAATAAATTTTTTTCTAAATTATACCAAAGAACTAGAAATTTTTTTAAACACAAAAACTATTAGTTTTCTAGGTGATGTGCTTTTGTTGTTTCAAGTTAATTGCAATTATTCAGAATTACAAAGAAAATAGTAAATCACTTCTTAAAATTTTATGTCTGAGTCTATAATTAAAATTATTTGAATACTTGAAAATTTCATTAGAATTGGTTAATATGGCTGTAAGTTTCAAATAGTTCAAAGTCACAAAAACTCAATATTTCAGCTTATAACTGTAACAAATCTGTTGGAGAGCATAGGCAATCAAAACACATGATGCCTATAATTTTTCTGGACAAAGATTGTCAGTGCATTCTATGCACAAAAGTAAAAAAGTTGTTATATGAACCACATTCGTGTTATAAGTGACAAAGTAAATGTTCCGTTCGTCCAATTTACCTTTGAGAACAATGCTGATGTGACCAATTTTTTACTGATTTAGCATAAAGTGCGAAATACCACAGACTATCTAATTACATTCATATATTTTGACGAAACACTGGTTCCAATACATCTTGTTCTTATTGTTAATAGAATATCAACAAATACAAAGAACATTAAAATATTAGTAATACGCATTGATCATCTTAGGTCTTAACAAAGTCTCTTATAAATTCTGATGCTTGCCGTTTGTTTCCGTATTAAACTATTTGGATGAAATTTGCAGTTCGTGTCATTTGGTCCAACTTTAGAAGAGTTATTATGTTTTAAAGGGTATCCATGTACTTATTTTATCCACTATGAATTGGTAACTAAAATATGATTAACAAAAGCCAGATGAAGAGTCGTATATATGATACAATGTCCATACACTTTACATTTATATTTACTCTGTATTATTCAAACCTATATTAATCAAACAAAGCAACGATTTCAATTTACCTAAAACAAGGATGTTCTTGTTTGATGGTAATTTGTTGTTACCACTATTTTGTACTTCTGCCAAAATAGAAGACCTATATAAAAAAAATAATACAAGATTGAGTACTAAATCAATGACTTAAGAATTATATATTTTTTATGAGTAATCCATGGCATATGAAATGTATGTCAAAACATTCATATGCTACGGATAGCTTCTAAGTATCTATATATTTTATATCAAAACGTTTATAAAAACGAATTCTTCAAACGTACCATAAATTGTCATTCTCTACCTCTTCTTTCTTTTTTGACTGAAACCCATTACTTTGCATCATCATACTATCAATCGCCGTTGCTGCCATTATTCATTTGACAGAAATGAAATATACTATCGATTGAGCGCAATAGTTGCTGCGACTTGTAGTAGACTTCACTCGAAACAGAACTTTTGAATAATATTTTGAATTTTCTAACTTATGTTTGCATATATTACATACTTAGTTCATGACAAGCAATGTCGTAGACTAGAATTATATATTTAATAGCCTGGTCAACGAAACAATATATTTATTTGTCGATCGACCAGTTTGTCGAACATACATTCGTTCCGCGCATGTCGGCTCTCCTCGGTCGAGTATGCTTGCTAATCAAAAGTCATACGCATGCACCAAGCGTATATACTTAGTGATTGTTTATTTTATATATATTCTATATCATCAGCTCTCTTCCTTATTCACATATTTTTTCCCATCATGTATATGACCGAGTCGAAAGAGCATTCATAGTGGGACAACTAGAGAATGGAAACAAACCTTCTGAAGTTAGCCGAGTTGCGCGAAATTTTCCTTCCTCATACGGGCATGGTTTTACACACTCATGCAATTTGCATATACTAACTGGTCTAAGTTATTATTCCCCTGTAAATATTCAGATGCAGTTATGTACAACATTGATAGAAAAAAAAGAGTTATTCAATTCTCCTCTCTTTTTTTCCTGTATCGTATGAATTGCCACTTCATCAAGTATGATTACCGTCGTATGTTCTTGCAAAGTTGCGATTTCATTCAAATTGAATGTTAGACTTTATACAAATAAATAATATGAATTAAAAACAAAGTTTCAAATGTGTCTGATAGACTAACATGCATTTAGGAATAACTGTCCCCTCAAGCATTTTATTTCAAACAGATATAAAAACGCGTTAACTTATGTATCTATTAACGTGTAATATATATTTTTTCATATCTTTCAACTTGACTTTTACTTTATTAGACGTCCTTTTGTATAATTTTTATTATATTTGCAGGTAATTCAGCTCCATACAATAGTTCAATCGAATTAAGCAAATTGTTTTTTCATCTATTCTTATGACTTTGCTTTTGCAATTGATTTCGTTTAGAAAGATTTCGTTGTCATGTACAAAACATTTAAATTAACACTTAATTGACACTTCTATGTGCAAGAAGTTTGACCCATTAAATATGAAAACGAATCAAAATAAAAAAGCATGTATTTTTTATTCTTCGGTTCGTTAAGACGTAGCTGGAGACCAAAGTAATCTTCCTCTCTCGGATGCGGCTCTTCGATTAAAAACCTGAAAAACCTCCCCTTACGAGCCACATACTCTCTCTTTCTATGGATAGACTGTTTCGGGTTTTCAACATTGAGTGGTTACACCAGGATAATACATACACTCTAACCATACATTCATATAACTGTATAATGATGAATGTTGACGTCACAACCTAACAGTTCTGATGCATCCTTTCGTTCATAAAAACATGGATGACGTAATTTAAATATACACGTCATACTTAAATATAAGTATGGCGTAGGGCGGTGTCATGTGTCACTATTTCGATCGATAATTGTTTTAAAGATAGTGTTCAAATCGATTGCTGAGCGTCGCCTATTTTCTGTATCAATACATAGTGTGCATTCTTCTGTTATGCGCCACTCATTAATAATTACTCTCGCCCTGTTTACGTGAGGAAATGATAATCGAACCGAGTAAAGAGGTTACATAGAGTTCTCATTTTGACAGGCGCGCACAACCAGCTCTGTGGTGGGACAGTAACGAAAGACGGTTAAAAACTCGCACAGTAGAAGACCGACCGTCGTTAGTTGTACAGACAAGTGTGTGAGCTTATAGTACATTCTCATTGAACTCCAGTGACACTATTATTACATATTTTTTATTTGTTGAAATCTTAAGAAAGATACTTATCAAAATAAAAATATCAGATAAGAAAAAAAAATGACCGAGATGGATGATAAAAAGACAGGTTGATATATAAAAATTCATTTAATAATTTTCACTTTTTACAAAGTAAAATTTTTATTTAAAAATAAAATTTAATATCATGTAATACTCTTTTGTATATTTTGATTAACATATGTTACAATATTGTATTAGAATTAATGATAAAAGTTTATATGTTTGTCATGTTTAAATTTCTATGTAATTTTATTGTTATTTTTTTTAATGCATGGTTACAATATATTATATATTATAATTGATTTTTTTTTATATAGAACATATTGTTATGACTCCAAAATGCAAAACTGCGAATTCTACAACGCTTATAATAGAAAGGCAAGTTTTAGAACCACCAGCAGAAAATGGAAATGAAAACAATGTTCACATAGCTGGAGGGGATCACAAAGGAATAGTTATTAATAAACAAGCAGTTTCTGGTACATATATGTGTTTTATACATATTCTATATATGTGAAATTATTGTCAATGTATAATGAATTGATTTTATAGTTTCAAATGGTGAAACATTTTTTTCAGTCTCAAATGGTGAAGTTCATCCAGCACATCTTTGTTTACAATTCAGAGTATTTTTGGTGAGTGCCCAAACTGGAAAGCATACACAGGAATCCAGAACTCTTCAGTTTTGGTTTTTGGATACACTGCCAGAGAATGAACATCCTGCTGTAGCACAAGAATTCTTCAGAGAATTAGTCAGTCCACAAGAATTTCCACGAGGTAAAAAAATACTAAAAATATTTGATTCATTGCATGATATCGAAGAAATGTTCTCATTGTGTATTATAATTAGTTAACATCTTCATAATAATTTAGTATTAATAAATATTGTTATTGTACAGAAGAAATAATTTCTGTATACTGTTAGCTTTGAAACTAGTTAAAATTGGATTTGATACTTTTATTTTCATATAAAAATAATGATTATAGTAAAGAATGTTTTCTTTTTACAGATTATGTCGGATTTATAAAAAAGATAATGAAATTAATGTTGCATAAATACATTACTATTAAAAAGATAGAAGTAGAGTTGAAACAGCTTGAAGAACCAATCACTCTTCCAACTAGACCATGTAAGTATTATCCCTTTCTATTCCAATACAGTTACATTAAATTAATTTTTTTTAAAGCTATATTGATAGATAATTGAAAATTAATTGTACATCAAAATTTAATTTTAGTTGTTGGTTTTATTACTTAATAATGTACATTTCTTCCCATTTTAATGAAATAACCCTCAAGTAGGGAGTAGCATCAAGATTTATTTGATTAGACTCATTGAACTAAATGGTTCTTGATTGAAAGATATTGGAGGAGTGTGTCTCAAGTGTACATTACAACTGAAGGAAATGCACACTTAAAATTTGTATTGATCATACTACTTGTGAAGAGTTTCTTATGCATGTTGTATAATTCTTCTCATATCAAATAAAAATGTTGTTTTTAATCTCTGTTATTCACAGCTGATACTGGTCACATACAATTCACACTACTTCCATGTAAGAAAATTATTTGGAAATCAGGTTGGAGATGTTGAAAACAATTGCATTCTTTATCATAATTTGTTTATGTTTATATAGTTTTTTATATGCAGGCTATTGTTCGAAAATGATAACAGTTCAATATTTGCCGGTCAGAAATTGTATAAAATAATTTCTTTCCTTGCAAACTTTTTATTTGAAATACAAAATAATAGATAATGTATATTTAAAAATAAAAGGTCAGTGTACAGGATACAGTTAAAAAAAGAATATAATCAGTTACAAAAATAGCCGCATTCTCTTATGTTGACCGGTAAATATATTACCGCTTCACACAACAAAGTAGTAACCATAACAACATTGGCTTAACACATGCTCTCTAGCTTTTGCATTATATAATAACACAAAGTTTGAATATTTATTATTTGCTTTATTTAAAGTCAACAACTAAAACTGAAATTTATAGTAATTATAAACGAAAAATGAAACTTATGATCAAAATTTATAATTGATTTTTTTTCACTTTTGTTCATTAAATAGAACGAAATATTTTATTTTCGATCATTTGTTTTTTAGTTATATGTGTCTTATTTATGAAGTATATGGTGCTTGTTTTTTAAATGCATGATTACAAATGCAGTATTACTTTTTTTATCTAATGAAGTACATAATTGTAACCCATACAACTAATTGTATGAATAATATAATATCATTTGATATTTAATAAGTCCCTATTATAAGTTAAAAAATTAAAATTTCGTATTATCTCTTATAAAATTTATTTTTAATAGATCTAGTATAAACTTTGCAGTGACTTTATTACCATTTTAAAATTTAGCACAGCGCTATTGCATCCATTTAAAGGTTTTACCTTATTCTCATGGTTAGAACCTTATGAGAAACGTATACGTAATTTCTGTGTCAGTAATACTACAAAAGGCATTAGTATTACAAGTTACCTTTTTATTCCAAACTGAAAGTAGTTCTTTACCATATGCATACAATATGGTAGATACAGATCATGTATTACATACAGTTACATATATTGTAGTTATTTATTCATCAAACATATTTTGTTATTTGAAATTAATCAGATATAATTTATTTATCGTAGATCGACGTATTTAATAACTTTTACTTCTTTTTTTTTTCAATAGTGTCTACAGATGAAACAGTTATGGGTCAAGTAGTTGAACTGACATTGGAAAAAGTTTTAGAACTTATAGAATCTGCTTATCCAAATCCAGTAACAGTAGCTGATATGGCAAGGTATAATTTTAAGATTCATTTTTTCATGAATACTTTAGACTCGAAAATGAGAATTTCACTTATCATAATGATTATTATAGAGAACATGGGTGGGATCCTTCTGCTGTTGAAATAAAATTAAAAGAATTACAAGAAAAGGGTGTTGTTAAAGCAATGGAACATGGAGCTTTCACTAGAGTTGTACACCAAGATACTAAAGTTCAAGTAAGTTTTGTTGGTATATTTTAATTACTTTTAGAATTAATTATCGTCATAGAAAATTATTTTGTTATTAATTTATTAGGTCGTAAAACAAATGCCAGCTATGGCAAGTGCAAAACAGCCAACCATAGCTATTATTACTGCACGGTATTGCGAAAAATTAGCGGTTGATGCGATGATTGAAAACAAAGAGACGATTGTCCGTTATACAACTGTTGGTAAGATATATTCTTATTATTGTTCGATAATTACTCTTTTTCCTTTACTATTGATTTCTGAATTAATGTCCATCATAAAAAAAAAAACAAAATAGTAATTTATTTTAGAGTTATCAATGAAAATTTTTTTCGTACATTACAAACTAGCATAGAACACGATATTATTATATCTTGCAGTAATAGAATATTTTATTAGTGATATTAACATTACTTCGATTACATTTTTTTATTAATTTCATTCAGTTTTTATCATAGTTAGTGTAATAATTTGAAGTATTTGTAAAAGACTTGAAGGGACTCAATTTAGTATTGAAAAATAGTTATCGTACTTTACAATGTGTACAAAATAATATATTAATTGTAACACTTTATTGGCGGATGACGCCACGGTGGCGTCATTTGATATGTCTACCGTTAAAACTACCATTAACACTATATTATTACGGAGAAAACTAGAGATACCTGGTATATTTAGTTATTTATCAGTTGGTTTTATCTCTATAACTATAAGATATTTGAAAATTCGAAGCAACAGTTATTTTCTGTCAATTTTTGATAAAATGAACTGGCCTTTTACCCACATTGTTTACATAACTATTCGGCCAGTAAAGTGTTAATATCGCGTGGTTATCGATGGTAAAAGCATTAAAAGTATTGGGAACATATATTTCACTACGCATGAAACTTTAGGTACGGCAAGTTCACCTGATGCGACAGACGGACTACCGCGAGTGACATGCCGTTTCGGTAAAGTAGTCTGTAATATAGTTTCCTTTTTTTTTTGTTTCAATGTCGTCTAACGTTATAGCTTGCCAATTGCTTGTTTTTGAAAAACGTTGCAAAGCCGTCGTGCTGTAAAAAAATGTACATTAATAGGAGTACTTTAAATATTATTTGTTTTATGGCAAAAACAATGTTTTTTTATGTTACAATGGAAATGTTCAAAACATCATCTCATATATCATGTTCCCATATTTAAAACATTTACTCTTTCAGCAATGCTAGTGAATTATATTGTCTATCGCACACATGTACACGTTAAGCGGGCATGGTTAAACATCATCATAAATTACGTCTGCTGTTCTCATGTCTTTTGTTTATGTGTTATTTTATATGTTTTCATTTTATAAAAATCATTCATATTACTTATGACTAGCACTAACTTTTTATAATCATTATTTTTATTCTTACACAGGAAAATAGTTAATAATACAAAATATGAAGATGTTCCAAATTTTTTACTTCTAACATAGTCACGTAATATTATTATGTTATTAATATTTTATTGCATACAATTTTTATTCAAAATATAACAATAATTTTGCACTGTATATCTCTCTCTTTGAATATGCAGAAGTAGATATGAAATATATTAAACAATCATGTAGATATCTATAAATTTATACAAAAATAAAAGAAATACAATTATTTGATATACTCATAGACATTTAATTGATAAATATAATTGCATATCTGATAATGGTATCTGAACACAGTTGCATCTATTTGGAATGATTTGTTTTTAATAAATTTAATCACATATAACACATATTTGATACCAGTCTATTGATAGCAGCACAATGCACTTGTACCATACACAAATTTCAGAATGTTCAGCAGCATAAACTTTGTATTATTTAACACAAGATAATTTTTGTTATAGGTGAATCAAATGTTTATACATTAGGTAATATTGGCGCACACAGAATTGTATGTACAAAATTACCAACCGTAGGTCATACAAGAGAAGCAATGACTGCTGCAGGAAATACAACTACTAGATTATTAGGTAATATTTAAATACTTTTTTATGATTACTAATACTGTTTGTAATAAGCTTCAGGTTTAAATAATTAATATATTTCTAGGCACATTTCAAAAAGTGGATTTCGTTTTTCTAACCGGAATCGGTGGTGGTGTGCCACATTATACAGATTACAATAAACATGTACGGCTCGGTGACGTAGTTATTTCATACCCTGCTCCTCTTAATAAAAAGTACATCTATGTTTATTGTGAAAGCGCAAAGACGAACGAAAGTGGCGATTATCATTTTGAAACCAAAGATTACTGCCCACCAAATTTATATCTTCAAGAAATTGCTGCTAATCTTAGAGACCAAGTAAGTTTCTTTCTCCGCTAAAAATTTAATAGAGAAATTTAAAACAATTACTTATGAACTGCAATTTTCAGTCGGAGAATGAACCAAATCCTACATGGCAAACGTACCTGAAAGAAGGTTTAGATGTTTTAAGTAATCAAACAGAACATGATTTTAAAGCACCTTCACCAGAATCTGATAAATTGTACATGGCTATTGGTGAACGAGATGTTATTGAAGTTGCACATCCTACTGCACCTTCGGATACTGTAAATAAAAGGTTATTACGCTTCCTTTTACAATAATATTTACATTAAATATTTATGAATTACTAATTATTTAAAACTTTACACGGCATTAGTTATCAATATGTTTTGAATCATTAAAAATACAAACTCATCAATTATAAATAATACATTTGCAGAACTGATGTATTTTTAATCATACAAAACTAAATGCTTTCTTATTTTAGAACGGACGGGTGTCCACGCATTCATTTAGCACCGGTGGCGTCTGGTAGACATATTTCTCGTGATGATCAACTTCGACAGAAATTTGCGACTCGTTTTGGCGCTCTCGCATTTGATGCAGAAATGGATGCCGTGGTTGAAAGTATTTTGGGTAACTGCCGTGAAAGTTTCGCCGTTATTCGAGGTATTTCTGATTACAAAGATGGCTCCCGTACAAAAGAATGGCAGCCTTATGCATCGCTAGCTGCTGCTAGCGTAATGAAATCTATCATTTACGCTATGGATCCACCCACTAATGTGTAATACCTTAGTTTTCTAGCATTTGTTTTCCTTTCATTCCACATAGTATGTTGTACGTAAAGTAGTACTACATTTTCGCATTTTTATTTTGTGTATCTTTTCAACACAAGGTGGACCAACTATTTTTATCGATTGAAATAATCGTAGTTTAAATCAACGCATTTAAAAGGAAACGCAAACGTTATACAATAAGTATTCGATGAACAATACAGTTTCATTTTTTGTGTCTAATTATATGTCGCATTGAAAATGAGACATAACGTAATCATTTGTCTTATGATTATCAGAAAGTATGATTCTGACTGAAATTTATGATAGTCGAAATGTAAGATGCACCAAGTGCATTTTAATTAATTAAGGAAATTGTAGGTTAGTACGAATGACTCTTCAAACGATGAGAATCAATAATACACTGCGCTCAGGCTTTCAAAATCGTTTCTGTATCGCTCAAAAATCATACATCTAAAATCTAACGGATAATAATTCATTTTGAGACAGCAATTTGGAGAACATTTTTACAATCTTTACATTTCTGAAGTATGTATATCTACTTTTTCAAAGCTGTTAATATAATATTTATACCGATTTTTGCTATTATTGATTTTATATGAGTTTTAACAGTTTTATAGGATTATTTATATGCACCTTGTACTATCGTGACCATAATTCTTTAATATTGCTTAAGTATGAAGTTGAGAAATTAATGTATAAGAAAAATCAGTTTAGTGATCCTAAGACCGGTGCCATTTTAATTCTACACCGCACGCGCGTAGATTCTTTAAAAGTCTATTACATAACAAATCAAGCATTTCATAAAATAAGAGATTCTAATTTTCGTAATAATTATGTAGTTTAATTATTGTAATAATGAGAACCTCAAATATCAAATTTTATCGGACGGGATCCGAAATAAAATAGATAGAGGAACCATGAAAAGCTTTAAACGAAGCCTTGGTGTAGTCAGCAACACAATTTAATTGTAGAATGTGATATCTAATATTGAAGGCAGAAAGTACATTTGGCAGTATTTATTGAAGCGCAATCAATATATCGTTAAAACATTGTCATAGTAAATATTACATGTTTATCAGAGTATATTGCCGTTTCATACAGAGTTGCCGACTTTATTCGTGGTTTATAAATGTGTATATCCACAGAATTTGGTGAGCAAAAAAAGTACATATAAATCACACTGTTCAAAGGTTTGATTGTTCTTTTAGAAACAAAAATAGCATAAAGAGTGTTTCTAAGTACGGCTATTTTCTTTTTCTGTTAAATGCTGAAAGTAAAAGGTTCAACTTTAGTAACTCTAAAATATAAGTGCAGCAATTTATATACAAACTTAAGAAAAATTGTGGATATTATCTTTACATATAAAAATGCTGACACAAAGCTCAGTTTGGAGGGCACCATTACCAAAAAAGTAATTTATAACTATCTGTATTTCCTAATTGTTTAGTAATGTGTTCTTTTTCATACAGCTAGTATAGAACCAGAAAAAATGTTAATATGCAGTTGTTTGAACTTATTAAAGTTCCATAGTTATTTTTTTATGTGTTTTATTGTACATAATTTTTATGTAAATTGTAGTTTTGCTTTCTTCATAATAAGTGCAATTAAAACTTTGAACAGTAGTATACATACCAAATACATTAGAAATTATACAATGAATTAAAATTAATTAATTCAAGTGCCAATGTGTTCAACATATTTGGTTGATGGAAATGCAACGGGGATTTCTCTAAAAGATAAATGAGCTAAAGATACTTCATAAGTCAAGTTATTAACTTTTAATTGTTATCACACAATTAAATTAGAAGTAAATTGCATTAGAAATTGAACATTATTTCTTATCAATACTTTACTTTATCTTTTAGAGTGATATCGCGTTGCCAGAACAACAGACCAAAATATTACTGAATTGTATTGCCTCTTTTAAAATGTCAACGCGAATATTCAAACGTTTGAAGAACCTTATTAGAGAAAAGGAAAAGAAATTCAATACATCCAAGGTTTGTTAAAGAACCTTTTAAAACGTAACTTCCTCGCATTTCAACGTCTTTATAGATTCTAAAGCACAGGGTAGCATATGAGAACTCTACATATTTAAGTGACATTCAACTATCAGAATCGAGCATAAATCTAAATAAGTAGAGGAGTAGTATATAGGCATAAGTACACATGCATTGTTAACAGCATAAAAATCTTAGAATTCAAACTGGATACAAATTTAAAGGGTGTCATTGACTGTCACTAAAAAAATCTTTATTTATTTATTTATTTGTTATTTGAAGACATTTATATTTTATGAGTTATAACACACCTAAAAATTGTCATTTCAAGAATGTTATTTAGTTTTTATTGTTTTAAATAAACAGGGTGTTCAACAAATATAACAATGAATCATGTTAATTTTCTTAAAATAATATTTCATATAATTGTATTTCTATTTCAAGCAAACAAATAGCAAAAAATTCAATAAAATGTGAAAAGTGTTTTAACTTTCATGTATAACACCTTATCGTTGTTATATCTTGATTATCACCAGCATAATTATTATTGATAATTTATTTCTGTTTAAAAAGTTTAAGTTGACTATTAATTGAAAGAATTTTTTGCTGGATGTTGGTCGAAATAGATAATTTTTTATACTTAATGATTTTTGTCTCGAGACTGGTGAGCACCCTGCATGTATAGTATTGATTTATTAGATGAAAACCCAGTGTAGAAAAAAAAGGAGAGTGATAAGACCTCAAATTAATCAATGAAAAAAAAATCACTTGTTGCGTAGAAGCACATTTTTCAAATTCTATATAGAGAATGAATATCATATAATATACATATATATTATGGAATACAGACACACGAATACGTAAATACAGATATACAGTTATTTAAAATATTTAATATATAATTATAATATATAAAAATTCGATTATACAGATAAGTTTTATTATGTGGCGAATCTTTTAAGTTCAATTTATCTGAAAACTGATAACAGATTCCTACTTTTTAAGGCCTAAACATTATTTATGGCACGAATGAACTTTGTTGTTATGTTTAAACGAAGCTTTCGAGCTTTAAGCTTCCAAACTTATGCATTTATATAGAATTGTGTTAATATTGCGCGCTTTAAACGCTAGTCGCACTATTGTGTTTCCTGTCCAGTTTACATGTAGCCTGTACTGTTAAGTAATCAATGCCTGCCAAAAGTTTGGAACCACTGTACAAATAATAGATCACAGGGATCTTTTAGAAAAAATAAACAATTTTTATTAAATTCAGCAGCTTTATTAAAACCGTTTTCTTTTTTCATTTTTTTTATAATGTATAAAATTCTCAATGTTAGTTCAACTTTTTATAGTTTTAGAGCATTTTAACATTGCTAGTATAACCAAATGGATTATGGATAATGATTGTACATGACTAATGTAAATCTTATAGTGATGTATGTTCTGTACGTAATGTAAATTTTGATTTGTGAGGTTGTTTCTATGCTGGTTATTAAGCATTCAGTTATTAACAAGTAGGGATGCCAAATTTGAACCTTTAAATTTTTATATTCTTTATTTACTGCTCTGTAATAACTATTTTAAAGAGGTGTTGAATAATAAACTGGAGATTAGATTATCACACTGCTTTACATGAAAACAGTTTTGAAACTTAAGTAAATTTATTGCTTAAATCTGAAAGCATCATTTTATGAGCGAAGACATAATAATTTTGATTGTAATTATGAAAGTCAAGATCCAATCTTGTAAGTATGTGTTTTGCAATTTATGGTAACGTTTTTGTAATAAACTTTTTATGGGTGAAAACAAGACAGAAACTTTTGAAAGTGAATACATTTTGGACTTATATTTATAGAGGTAAGATATGTCCTTAATAAAATTTGTAAAAAAGTGCTTGATTTTGAAACACTTTCTATTATTTTTGTCACTTATTTTCTGTTTCTATAAATGTTACACATACCTTAACCATATGTTTTAAGTCATTATATGCATTATTATTGAAAAATTTGATAAACAGGTGTTTCCAAACTTTTAGTTGGTAGCATATACGTATAAGCACATATCTATGTCCAACTATTTTGTATTTAACACGTTCGCTATAAGCATTTATATGAACTTTTTTAAATATAAAATTCAAAATAAATTATCTTTCAATGAATTCTGCTATTTATACATTATAATTACATCTGTGTTTTGTTAGAATGTGAAACAAGTTTTATCTGTTTCGTGGATATGCAAAGTTCTAACGAACGTGTTCAATAACATTTATTTAACTTTTGTAATGAATATATAATAGTAATGAATTTCAATTTTGTCCAGTAGAAGCTGATATTTTGTACATTCGTTACGAATATTTCATGCTATTTCTAATATGGAAAATAATATCATTCTAGTTTAGTAACAGATGAATGTATTCAAACACTGTTAGACTTTAATGAGAGTCGAAAAGAGTTTCAAAGTTTCGGAAGTAACAATTTATGCTTCTTTATGCTTGTACTCAAGTAGTCTTCCGGCCAATAGAACAATTCGTCTTGATACTAGATCTTCTTAAGCTTAAATATTGTCTGGTTAACAAAATGGATGCCACCAAAACGTTTTCCTCTATATAATAATTTTCTTCTGTTATTTCGTTAAATTGGAACTAAATTCAATTCTATTATAACGCATCTCAATATTTTACTTCAGAATTAAAATATTAGTTTTATTGATTTTGGGAAAATATATCGATGTGTGATGATAGTATACGGAAAAGAGCTAATATATTTATTACTTCATTCGAAAATAAAATAGTATGTAATTAAGTTTCTGTTAATATGTAATTGAGTTTTTCAAATAAATTTTGTATGTTTAAGTCAATCCTAGAGAAAAAACAGCAAGCTTAATTTAATCGAGTAATAATTATAAAAATAACGATAATTTTGGTGAATGTTTTGGTAGTTCCCATGATTAGTAGCGTTTTATTAGAATTGTAATGTTTACAGGGGATAAGAAAACAAAGTGTTGTGTCTAATTGTAAGTTACTTTATCGCGGAAGAGAAACTGTGATAATATCTGGGCTTTTCTGCGGGAAGTAAGGAAAAAATATACGTAGAAAGAGCTATGGTAGAAATGAATCAGTTCCCTAACATTCGATTCTGTTACGAAATAGATCGTTAGTATGGTATACAAAAAAAAGAGAGAAACAAAGTCTTATTAGAAAAAATTCAGTATAAAGCAAACAGCAGCATGTAATTTCGTTTAAGGAGAAAATTTTTTCTTCAAGAATGATTTTGTTTCAACGTCCATAATTTGTAAACATTTGTAATACGTGGTATATTTATTAAGATTGAAAACAATAGTTTTATTAAACACAATTTACAAACAATTTTTGCCAATTGAGAGAAATGCAAATTATTTTCTTTTTTTTTTAATTGAATTATTTATTTCTTTCTGTTGAAATATACATATATTTTTATATAGATATCTTTTTTCCCCATTGGACGAAAGAATGACAATGAAACACAATTTATATTTTAAAATAAAATTTCTAATTCTCAATAAATAGACCACGTAAATGTTTTTGTATGACATCATTTTGTAATAATTATGCAAATGTATTATTTTTAATTTGTATAAGTGAAGAAATCTTTTATTATGAACCTCGTGTAGTAAGATCTTTATGAAATTTCAACTCCACAAAGTGATTTCAATAAATAAAGGTTCATTGTTCCTGTTTATTACTATAATATATTTTGTGTATGACGTTGTGTTGTAGTTCTTATGTAAATTAAATTTCTGTACAATTTTAAGTGATTAAATTAATAAGATAAAATACTTCTTTAATCAATTATTAAAATAATGGATGGTAGTTTGGGGGAGGGATCAATCTGATTCTCAATATCCCTAGGGAAATACCAATCAATAATCCCTAATATTATAGCAGACACAATAAAACAAGAAAAATGAGTTTATGGTCAGTTAGAAGTTCTATATTCAACAATTTTTTAAATTTCATTTTATGGGACTTAAAATGCTTAACCATCTAGTGGAAGAAGGTAAGAACTGATGGACGTAAACCGTTACTGAGTATACTTTAAAACCTTTATACAAAAACTTTAAACCAGTATACCTTTTTATTATTTTTCACTTAAATATACACGTAGAATATTATAATGAATCTTAATGTTGTTATTTGAACTTACAAATTGCAAAAATCGTTTATCACGTATTGTAACGAAAAATTTTTACACTGTCCGTTCACACTCCCAAGTACTTAAAAAAAATATAAAATTAATGTACACATCCCTCGGTATAAGGGATGTAAGATGAATGTTCAATAATGTATTCAGGTTTTGTATCTATTTCACACATGCATTCATGTAAACTACAATGTTTTATAGTATCTTATTCGACGTTTTCTATTCAATATAATTCATAGAAATCAATCGAATGAACATGGTGATTATTTTAGATACTACATACTTTATGTAATAATCTTAAATGCAATTTAAAAGTAACTTAAAATTAATTCGAAATTGCGGGGAAAGGTATGAAATTTTTCTGTATTTGAAATGAAATTATCGGAAAAGAAGAATCACAATGAAAATAAAATCACGAAGGAATGTAAGAATCTCAAAACTCGAAATATAATTGTGGATCAATGATCGTGAGTTCGTCAAAATTCGAGCAAAACGCGTTTGACGATACTCTTTGTATTGTTTAAAATAAAACATGAAACAAAAAAATAATTGCGAGCATAATGACATAATGACTCTCTCTCCTCGGATGGACAGCCATTAATAGTTCCCCTCTTCTTTGACAAACTTTTGCCGAGGCTCTTCAGCATATAGCCTCTTCTTTCTTCGGCTTGAAGCCTCGCAAAAATCACACGCGGAATTTTACGGTAACTCGGACATTTTTAGCCCTCATATTAACTACATAAACTTCCAATTTCGTTATACAGGGTTTGTCCAATAAGTATCGGGACTAATTTTTTTCTACTAAATTGGAAGGTCAGGGAGCAATCTCTATTGACTAGATCGATGCGGGAGGTTGTTATGTATAATAGAAATCTAGGTTCATTTGTATTCCACCATTTGTTTTGTTTATATTGTGCTTGAAGTGGAAGTGTATTTAACGTTCGCGTCGAGATTCAAGATGCAACGAACCGTCGAGCAGCGTTGTGCCATTAAATTTTGCGTTAAGCTAAATAAATCTGCTAAGGAGACATTTGATATGATTCGTCAAGCTTACAAGGACGATTTCATGTTCAGAACGCGTGTTTTTGAATGGCACAAAAAGTTCAAAGATAGCCGTGAAGACGTCAAAGACGAGCAACGGGTTGGACGACCGACGTTGTCCCGATACGATACGAATGTCGACAAAGTGCAGGAAATTTTGAATTTTGAAACCACCCTACAGTCCAGATATGGCTCCCTCTGATTTTTTTCTGTTCCCTCGCATTAAAAGAAGCCTTAAAGGACATCGTTTTGGGACGATTGAGGCGGTTCAAGCGGCTTCGACGGAGTGCCTAAAGAGTCTTACGCTTGTCGACTTCCAGGGAGCGTATGAACAATGGAAAACTCGCTGGCAACGGTGTATTGATGCAGGAAGGGCATACTTTGACGATTATTAACTCAATGTATATATATCTTCAACGAATTTCATTTTAGGACATCAATCCCGATACTTATTCGACAAACCCTGTAAGTCAATCACCACCAATAGATAGTCGATAGTTTTATAACAATAAAAGTGAACCACTATCCATTTATTTTGATCGCTAATAGCGAAGTTAAAATTTTGTATAATTTATATAATAAAAATTAATTACTTTAGTAAGAAAAAAAAATTGTAACAATCAAAAAGTGTGCGACCAGCGATTCTTAGAA